AAGGATTCTTTATAATTAATTCCAAAATCTTATTTCAAATTTATCTGGACCCTTAATCCATTTATAACTTTCTAAAATCAAAGACTTAATTAACTTTTTGCCGCTTATTTCAATTTTTTTTTAAAGTTCTTAACCTTGTAGTTAATTTTTTTTTTGTTAAGGATTGAAGGCAGACTTGTCAATCCAAAGGTCTCTAATAGCTGAAAAGTAGTTAACAAGCAATTTTCAAATGTAATTAGAAAAGGAAGTATGTGAAGTTAGTGTCCTTTTAAAGGCACCAACCATGAGCAAGATCGCTGTTCCCTTGTCTCTCAGTGCTCAAATCCCACCAGAGGCCACTGCCTTGCAATCTCCTCATGAGGAGCAACTATCTGGAGCACTTGTGGGTCATCTCCCATCCTCTCTTTATCTGGAGAGGTTCAAACATCTGACCTGTTCACTGGCTCTTCATTCTTTGCCGCAGTCATCAGCTTCACTTTTCGTGAAGCCGTCTTCAGTCCACCATTTGTTCCTCCAGAAGCCACAAATCCCAATGTTTAAACTTAAGGGGGAAATTGTAACATAATTTCTGAAGAGCTTCTTAGCTGGTTGCAAACAGCTGCCATGGTATTGTACAAGTTACTACTCTGCATGCCCGCTGTAACCCTTCCACCAGCAGAACACTCCTGTAAATGTGAAATGTGCAGCAAAGTAGCCAAATCTAATTGGTTCTTGAAGGGCTCAATTAAACGTCACCATGAAAATGGATCTCCCAACATTTTAAAGCAGCCCCACAGCATTCAATATGGATCACAGCAAATGTATTGGTGAAGGGGTGATATTTTTTCTCTCCCCAGTCCCCACTTACCTATCTGGGTCCAACAAAACAGGTATTTCATTTCTCTACTGCAGACTAATATCAGTTTTGAAGAGGGATAGGTGTGATTTTGATCAAGGAAAAATGCATCATTTAAATAAATAAATAAACAATTAAAAAAAAACAAATAAACCTTTTAGTGCTTCTGACCCAGTCAAAAGTGAAATGCCTACCATCTGCTTTAAAATGAAATTTAAACATTAAATTTAAGAGTTGGAAGATCCAATCACACAAGCTGAAAGACTAGAAGGGAGGAAAAGTAATAATGATTCCTGGCAATAGTGCAGGGTGAAGGCTAGCAGAAGGCCAAACATGCACGAACCATCCTTCATTGACCCAAAAATGCTATCTCATCCATAGTTTTGCTACTCTCCCCTGCCCCAAAGCTCAACAGTGAGACATTTCTGAATGATCTCCAATGTCTCATTATGAAAAGGAAACACTTCAAAAGCCAATGTCACACTGGGGGAGCCATACTTCTATCTAGCAGTGAAATAAGAGCATCCTTAATTATGGTTTCAGGTTTAACAGAATAGAGGCTCCGCAAAGGACTTTGGCTGTTCTAAGATCCATGCACAGCCTGGCACTAACCTTGCTTTTCAAACTCTTCAAAGAGGTTCAGGCTGGTAATGCTGGGGCCGGTGAAGATGATGCAGTTTTTCCCTGTGACATTCTGACAAAGACTCTTGGCCACTATGCTGTGAAGCTGAGCTTTGTTCTTCAAAGCATCCAGACCTTCAGTCCCACTGCCTTCTTTCAGATGGGCATAGATCTTAATCATCAAGCAAGAAGGGGGGTGGGGGGAGAGAACAGCAGGGAAAAAAGTTAATGTACAAAGAGATTAATGACCAACCCTTTCCCTCCTGGAACCCTCCAGATGTGTTGGACTTGAACTCTTGCAATCTCCAATTTTGTTCATTTCCCAGTTGACTATCCTGCTGGGAGTGGGGTAAGGTGAGATTTTAACTAGATAGTCCTTTACCAATGTTTTGCCAGTTTCCTTGCTCTCAATAACACAAAAGAAACAATATTCCTGACTTTCCAATCATTTTACTCTGTAGCCCAGGTTCTCAAAGAAAACCCACATATTGAGTCAATAGCTGATACCACCTCAAACCTGGAGAAAGTGTCAACAAATGGTCAAAGATTCCACTCAAGCAATGAAGCAAACACTATGGCCATAAGCATTCAGAAAGGTTCACTTGTACTGTAGTCTAACTGCAGGTTGGCATGCTGGCTGAACTAAACCCTTAAGAATGGTTAGTCTAAAAACAGCCAGCTCAGCTTCACACTGTGGTTATACCAGTTTAAATCATGGTTTATTCATCTGACTTGTTTTGAACAAAACAGATCTAAAATTAATCACAGTTCAGGTCTTAACTTTAGAGTTTGGTTACATAACTGAAATCCAACCTATTCGTTATCGCTTTTTTGAAGCAGAGGGGAATCTGTAACTTCAAGGGGAATCTAATACTTGTTTCCATCATAATATACTATAGTTTACCATTATGCCCAAGTGCAGCCTTTATGGTTGCATTTATTTTTAGAATGATTCCTGCCATACTTCCCTAGCATAAAATGCTCCCATAGAAAACAGTACCTGGAAAGTAGCATTGTCTTGAGTGATCATTTTAAGGTATATTCTTGAGCTACAGATGTTCAAGCTAGCTTTAAAATTGCAGCAATTATCTATCCTTAAATTGATGTTTGAGTCCCATGTCTGTTAAGGAATAATTCCTACCTGACCCTCGTGATTGGGTATTCAGTAAAACAAATTTTTCAAAGCTCCAACACATAAAAAAAGTAAAGGTGCAAGTGTTATGTAAAATATGTCACTGTGGAAAGAAGCGAAGAAGCATGAATGATACAAATGTTCAGCTTTTATTTGTTGCATTTTCAGATTTTTTTTTCTCTTCAGAGAGACATAGCTGTTGAATCTGGGCTTATATAACAAGGATTGTTTAGTTCTCCAATGCTGCTTGATTAAAAAAAAAAGACAGATGGCTAATTCTCCTACAGTCCTGCCCTTGAAAAGGAAATTCACCCCAGGCTTATATTTTGCACTCTCAATGCAGAGGTAGTAAAGACGATGTCAGGCTCGGGCGACAAGCCAGTCAGTCAATTCCTGTCACAACCAATGGATCAACATTCGACTGATCTGAAAAAAGTGGACCCTGAACCTGCAGGAAGAATGCTAGGAAGAAAAAAAAAATGCAGGGCTAGCAAATCAATTAAGGCTTGAGAGCCAAATAAACTTATTCAAAATGAGGGCAGGCAACATTGTCCCAAGTTTAATGCAGTAACTTACCAGGTAGCTTTCTATTTAAAATGTCCACAAATTTACAAAGAATTTAGGAGGGAGGGAAGGAGGGAGGAAGGGATGGAGGAAGGAAGGAAGAGCAACTACATTCATCAAACAGGTGTTGATCATATATATCAACAGGAGAAAATGTAAAAATGCAAACCAAGAAACTGGTACTACTCAGTATCAATGACAGTCTAAAAGAAAAGCCTAAATTGGCTCAGTTCTCACTTTGTGGCTTTGCATGGGAGCTGCCAATTGAGCAGCAGAGCCATGAAACCAAAAAGTTTCAGAGAAGAAATGTTAAGACCGTTATCAAATATTTGAGCATGTATCAAGCTAGAAAGAGCCTGTCTGGTGTACAGGTAGTCCTCGACTTACGACCATTCATTTAGTGACTGTTCGAAGTTACAGTGGTGCTGAAAAAAATGACTTATGACTAGTCCTTGCACTTTATTTTATTCATTTATTTATTTATGAAACTTGTCCCTGCCCATCTCCCCCCAATGGGGGACTCTGGGCAGCTCACAACATATTAAA